GCTTTAAATCTGATATCGACACAAACAATAAAAAAGCCTCAGAAAAGCTGCCAAGAAAGCCAACAAAAGAATCTTGTATGAAGCTTTGAATGTTATTATGCAACACCTACAGTAAAAAAAATTATAAAATACAATTATGTTTTCGATCTACAAGCTCAACAGATGAAATGCACATTTAACCAGGTGATAATCTTTCCATCTTTATTTTTTAGTCCTTGGCTTCAGTTTCTCAGTCATTGCCAGAGGTGTCAAAACTAATAATGTTTATTACTCAAGTAATTGTAGAAGTTAGAGTATCAAATTAAGCTTTTTCCTCTGCTTGGTTTTGATGTGTGTCAGAGCTCAAGATGAACTCAAACATATAAGAACTTACCTGTTTGGTTGATAAAAGCTTTTTTACTTTTTCAATTGGGTCTTCACAAAGCAAAAACAGATCCCAGCCCTATTTTATTTTACTATCTAAGAAATGAAATGTTGTCATTTATCCCTTGCAGTGCACTTGAATTATTGTGCAGCCCTAATTTAAGTATTAAGTTTGGGGTTTTTGAAAGACTGAATTTAATATTAGGATGAAATGCAAGGAAAAGTTATTTGTCATTTAAAAACATTTAATAAAGTCAGTTACATACAGTATGCTGACCAGCTGCTTCATTTGGTAGATCACTTAATTTGCTCGCTAATACAGGACAAAAAGTGGCTATGAAAGTAAAGCCAAATATCATAATGGGAAAGAAAGGAAGCTGGAGTCACTTTGAAGGTGGCATGGTTGTTTGTGCCAAACAAGCTGTTCAGACTATTTCAGGAAGAGTTTTTCTGCTGGGATTTGCACACATACCAGGTTAAAGAGAATAGTGCCAAAAACAGGAAACATTCAGTGAACTGCACATGGGTGGAGAGAATTGCCTTGTAGATATTGTAGGGTAATGGTGCTTACTATTTGGAAATTATAAAAAAAAGGCAACAGTAGATAAATAGACTCACCTGGTACAACCCTGGTATTTGAAATGCCTCCTCTAAATACACGACATATTGAGGCAGATTGGTTGCAGCAGCTTATGACCACATTGAGTGCCGTTCTTATCAGCTAAAAGCAGGAAATTGTGGCTCCAACTTACAAAGGCTCACGAAAATTGCGAAAAACTAAAATATTTTAACAGTTGCTGGGTCCATTTGGATAACAACTGCAATATTCAGATTCAACGTTAAAATTTAGAAAACAGGGTCCTGTCTTGGTCAGGATGGGACAGTAAGGCCGGTAGAAGTAGTGTAGTTGAAATGATTTCTTAGCACGTTTTGGGCCCTTTAGTACTAACTGCTTGAACCTACAAACCATTTGAGTATCGTTGCTGACCATGTCCACCTCCCTTCAAGACCACATTGCACTCACATCCTGAGAAACATTTCCAGCAGGCTGTGGCAGTGAGCTCAATAAACTCCATTAACCTCCACAGTTACCAGATTGTACTTCAACTTAGCTTCTCTGCGATCTGGTTAAGTGCAGGATCTGTGCAGGAAGGTGCAGTCAGCATCAGATTAGTCACATCTGCTTGATTCATGTCAGTTGGGACCAATATCTCATAGGAATGCTTCTCAGAATGTGTTGAAAGAGAGCAATGTAAACCTACTTTCAGATAAGTTTGGCCATGATGGCAAACTAGCTGGAGAGAGTTGCTCATTTCATTTCTGTTATGTTATCTAAGCTGTACAGCAGCAGGCTCCAGTTGCAGACATGACTTACTGAGGTTCATTACAAACAACTGAAATTGACTCTCCTTGTTTCACACATTGACAGACGAGAGCATATCACATTCCCAATTTCCAGGAATCTACAAACTAAAATATGTGAGTGTACTATTCCACTGCTTAAAGCTTCTTAAAGCTACAAAAGCATGTATATATTGGCATCATAGGGTCGTTCCAGGTCTCTGTAATCTGGCTATATTAGTTCCCTGAGCTGAGAGACGGCTCTGAAACACTATATCCAAAACATGATCGTTGAGTTGGAGCCCAGCAGGGATTTATGAATAATCAAGTGAAAGAATCTGAAAGGGGAGGATAAAACCTCTCACCAACTCTGTCAACCGTCACTCAGTCTGTCACGGTTTACTGGAACCTAAGTGGAAAAGCTGCTTCAATATTGATCAGGCTTAAACAAGGTTAGCAATGTTTTTGTTCACACTGGATGCAAGAATTGGAAAGTAACAGTCACCATAATCCTCAAGGGATGTTATTTTATTAGTCCTTTGAAAGGGCCAGTTGCATCTGTTCAAAACAAAACCTTTGCTCAACATAACCACGTCAAAAGTGGTATCGGGAATGTTGGTATTTTTTTTTTTACATTGCCGCTATTGTTCTGACAAGCAAACCTTGCCCATATTTACAACCAATGTTTATTTCCATGTAGTTACTGTTTTTTTCCATGAGAAGGTGGGGGGTTGAGGACTTGTTTTGCTGTTTATTTGACAGGTGACAGTGATAACGATACATCATGGGATTGATTTTTGGCATATGGTGTAATTTTCTATTTCTTCAAACTGTAATATCCTTGCAACAAACTAAATTATAATAAAACTAATAATGCTTTCTTTAAACCAAACTACGATGTTCCTCTTATATTTGGCAAATTTATGTTTGAAAAATCTTGCAAAAGTATGTTGCGGTGCACTGGCGACCTGTCCAGGGTGTACGCCGCATCTCGCCCATAGCCAGCTGGAGATAGGCACCAGCATCCCTCGTGACCATGCTTGGGATAAGCTTGATGGAAAATGGATGGATGTATCCTCACTTTAATTTCAGCACTTTATTTATAAAAAAAGAGCACAATGCTCTGGTATTATAATTTTACTTCAATTTATTTAGCAGTTCAAACCACTTTATGCTTTTTCAAAAGAATGCATGCTTCTATTTTATGACATGACATGCCTTTTTTGGATCTTGAGGGCCGGATAAATTGCCACTGGAGGGCCAGTGTAGGTACCAGAGCTGCAGATCCTGCGCATGCCAGTGCCATTGCACTATATGATTGGTTGAACGTCACCACATGACGTAAAACATTGTGGTTGCCCAGTCAACGATAATAATATAATGCAGCATCCGTGTGCCGAGTCAGGAGCATCTGTAGTGTTAGCGTGGCTAATGATCTATGAAGTTTTACCTTATTGATAACAAAACTGAAAAATTATGTTTATGTTAAACAAAGTAACTGCAAGACTATGATATAAATGGGGAGAGCTGGGGAGTGCTGTGGCTAGCTGTGCTCAATCAGTTAGCCATATTAACCTACACTACTTTTAATTTTGTGTCAAAATGAACAGCTGTTGATTTTCTACAAATATAATAACTGTTGTTTTGTTTGTCTAAAATCTCCATGAAAGTCGTTTTTGAAGATGTTCAATTAGTCCTCCCCTGCCCTCAGATCTTAATAAAAAGAATAAGAAGTACTGAATTTTCTTGTGTCACCTTGTTAAATGGCAGAGCTCAGTCTGTCTTAGAACACAGTTCTTGACTTCAAGACTGAGAATGATTGTTTTCTACTTTCGGGCTACTTTAGATGGTCAATGAAATTTAAAATAATAGGTAAAAAAAAAAAACAGGTAATAATATGTTGATACTCCAGAAGAGATCTGATTCTTAAGAAACTGGTGCAATACAGTTTGTCCGAATGGTGTTGCCATATGATGACATCATAAGAAGGGCCAGGGCCCCGAGGAGATCCCGGATGTGGCCCTCAAACATGCTTTAGGAGAACTGCCTTTATAAATTGCTGTCCTTAAGTGCCTTTCAATTTTGAACAAAACGAGGTATCTTGATTGGATTATTGCTGACATAGGTTATATTTTAAAAAGAATACATCTGAGCTAGTTTGCTTAATGTGTTATTTTATGCCTAGTTTGACACACAGACATTTCCATTTCGTTTTAACCTACATCTGTGTCATATATGTAAAAAATATTAACGTAAACAATTTGAATGATCCATTTGGAGATAATAATAAAATACTTTGATCACAATTATAGTTTTGCTTATTTATGTCTTATTGCTTTTCATTTTTGCTCTGATCCCTGCTTAGCTTTGTCAAATATTTAGATTATTACCCCTAATAAAAAAAAGATCTTAATTCTTATTCATTTTCATTTTTTTCTCACCTCTTACTTGATTTAGCTCCAACAAAGTTATCTCCATTGATGCGTTGGATGATAAATTTGACATGTGTCTTATGATCTGAACTATGATACATCTTGTCTTTATTCCTTACAAATTTTTACTCTTGCGGTGGTTTCTGCTGATTACATGTCGCACTACGTGTGATTTCATGTAGAAAGACTAGCCAGCGTAAAACTTTAAAATACCTTAAAAAGTCTGGTGGAAGCTACCTAGCCTAGTAAGTCCTTACGATGAAACGGGTCTAGATGTAGACGTTTTTTTAGATAGTACTCTAAGAAAATTATATTTAGTGTGGTGTAAAGTTGAGGGAACTAAATCTATGTTTCTTCAAAACAAAGATATGAAGATGTTATAAGTCCAGTCAGTGGCAGAATTACACATGCCGTAAACATAATCTGCACTGCAGAGTTTACGCCCTTGAAGATTTCTTATGCAATCCACCTCAATATCATCTTACACACTGTAACCTTGAAGTGGATTGTTATACACCTATCAGTCTAAGGCTTTCCTATACTCTGAATGGGCAAAGTCATGCACTGACTGAGAGAATGTCTGCAAATATATTACTCTGAACTTTTTGTAAAGGTTTTAGAAGATTTTTTGTGTGAAATGCACATAAGTTGAACACTAATGTTGATCAGCAACTGATCTGTTTAAGCAAACATCAGATAACCCACCTGGCTGATGGAAAATACCTGCCCTGCAGGGGCCAGGTGATCAGTGGCAGCTCAAGGTTCTCAGACAGGCACTGGTTTCATTTTCGGAAACATGACATTAACACGTTACAGGATGGTGGAGGGTTCAGTGTCTCACTCTAATCTATTATTTGTTTTCAGGGCGGGGAGCATTGCTACTACCATGGGCGAGTGCGGGGGCTGCCTGGCTCCTGGGCTGCAGTGTCTACCTGCCATGGCCTGCAGTGAGTGAAACACTGGATCAGTTATTGTCACCTGAAAAACAAACTGGTTTATTAATTATTCTTGAAATAAATATGTTACTTTAAATTGTTCTCAGGGGGATGTTTTCTGATGGCAACTTCTCTTATGGGATTGAACCTGTTGGCAATGGAGAGGTGAGATGAGTGACGAACACTGGAGATTAAACTTGGAATCTGCATGAATAACTTTATGTTTTAGCACTTTGGGTTGTTACCAGAGCTGCCACCTCTTCATTCTGTCTTTCCGCCTCCTCTGGATGATTTCTCATCCGTCCAGACAGTGTTACTCTATCTCTCAGATTCTGAATGGAAAATATTGAGCTAATACACTCCACTTTCACCGAGATATATGCTTGCTTACATCTAAAGGAAACCAATTTCTCACAGATGCATAACTCAAATTGTATTTTAAGGCTCATTCAGATTTGATTATGAAATTCATGTCATTAAAAAAAAAGAAGACTGAAAGCTGAGTGTTCCAGAATGAAGCAGTCTGAGCTTTTTTCCCATTAAGACCCAAAGTAATCGAAATGTGGTTCAATTACATAGAGATGGATCAATAATCCCTCAGCTTGTCATAAAACTCCTTAATTCTCTGCCTCACTGCTTTGCTCTTAGTCTCTGCTAGGTAGTTTCATAAAGTATTTATCCACAGCTTAAGTCTACCACCGTGTCCAGCACTTGTTACAGCCATTATTATGACCACGTGGATGATTAATTTTGCATTAGAGCACTTTCCTCTCTCACTGTTGTGTGTCTGCAAAGCATAAAAATGTTTCCTTCACAATTCAAAGTCCGACTTTTTCATTTGTTGCTGTTGAGCTTCAATTAAACACTTTCATTAAATCCACAGTGTGAATATGGTATGTTTTTTTTTTATGTGTGGGCTTGTTTTTTAAATAGAAAAGCTCACCAATGGGCGTTCTCCGCAAAGTTTGATTTTGCTCCTACTCCTTAATTTCAAGTCATTAGTGGAAGATTGCTAATATTAGCTACCTCACCATAACCACTGCAGTCTCTGTTTCACCAAAAGAGTTGATTTGAACAATCAGGGCCTCACCTGCAGGTAGTCGGATGGCCAAGGCCAGTTTATTTACACCCCAATAGCAAGATGACTCAAACTGCTTTACATAATAGGAAAATACACGTACATTTCTAAATAATAAAGAAAAAAGTATTACAAAATGATTAATAACAAAATTAAAGAAAGTTGCACAAAAAAAACGTAACTAATAATGTTTAGATAGTCCAATCAAAACTAGTTTAAAACATAAGTTTAGAATCTGCATTGAAAGCAACTGAGGGTTTTCAGCACTACTACAGTTTTCTGAGATTTTATTCCAGATTAGTGGAGCATTTTAGTCATCATTACCTTTTATTTTAAGTTAATAACTGAAATCTGATTAAAAAAAATGTATCTGTCTCACCAGAAAGACCACGTTGTGTATCGTATGCCCAATATTGATCTCTTCTCACCTCCTTGTCCAGGTAGGACCCATATTCTGACCTCTAGCCACCAGGATATCAGAAGTTTATGTTTTTTTGTAAATTGAATGCAAGTTACTCAGATGTAGAGTCTGAACTGATTGAATTGATGGTCATTCATGCCGGCTATCACTTTCTGTAGAAATATTTAGTTCTGTCCTTGTAATTGATATAAGATATTTAACTTTTCTGCAACTCATGTTTAAATTTCTTACACTTTTTATTTATTGATTTCCTTGTTATCGACTTGCTATCAGGTTGTCTGTCTGTCCTCCCTGCCCTTGCTGAATTCTGCTCCATAGCCTCCTTTACCTCATTAATCTCCCTTCCTCTTTCTCACTACTCTCCCTTTTCCTGGTCCTTCCTCCATGCACTGCTGGATATTGATCTCTTCTGCATATCAGAGGACTAAAATACACAGTTACATCTATCCATGGACTGATGACTAGTCACTTTTCTGCTTGTGTGCATCTTGCAGGATGCTTCATGAACAGCACAGAGCCTGAGGGGCAAATAAAAGGAGATGTTGTGGTGAAGGATGGAGACATCAAGTCTGAAGAAGACAGATCTGTTTTCACCAGGATCCGGAGGCGCTCAAAAAGACAAGTTAGTCTTAACACATGCATGATTTGAACAGAAATATCAACCAAACAGTTTCGCAGTTTTTTTGTTCGCCTCTTTTGCCTTGGTGAATAATTGCTCCAAATCTATTCTGTGGTTAAGAATTTATATTTTTCATGTAGAAGTGTAGTAGGGTGACTAGATCTTAAAAACAATTGTGGGACAAATTGGATGATATGAAAGAGAGTCTGGGACAGGCCGGCCTTTTCCGCTGTGCGTTTACTTTGTGAATTGATTTGAGAAACAGTTGAGCAAAAGGGGAAAATACAGAACTGAGCTATGTGTCCTTTAAGAACATACTGGCTGCAATTGGCATGGCAGGGAAAAGACAGAGGTTAAATGCCCCGCTTACGCAGCGATGATCTAATTTTTTTGTTTCAGTTAGCACTGTTTTTATATTATTATTAGAAAATTAACACCATTTTGCTGTTTAGATAGAATTTTCTTTCAAACTTGTACATTTAATGACTTCCTGCTTTAAGACGGGACAAAAGATAATGCAATAGACTGCAGAATCCTTAAAATGATATTATTACTTCACTTGTTATTCTTAGATTTAGAGTGAAGTAATGACTTTAATTTCAAAATAAATGTGTTATTAAAATGTATTTATTTATTAATTAATCATTTAGGATGATTTAATACCTATACCTAATATGCATGTAGTACCTCCAGTTTACCTCCTCTGAGGGGAAACCCTTATCCTAACAATTGTTAATGAGAAGCCTAAACCTGAGGTAAGTGGATTTAATATGACTTCATTAAATCTCTGTTGGAATTGACTTCCTGCAGTTGGAACTTAAGTTTCCGATATTTTGTTTGACCTCTGATGTGTGCTTCCACCATTAATCACAATGCTGGCCCCCTGCGCCTGCAGCTCCATATGCTTGGATTAGAAGAACTTACCTATACAGGGAGGTACATCTTTTCCTGTGCACCTGAAAGTGGAAACCAATTCAGTGTGATGGAGATTGAACAGTGCAAACACAAAGCAATTTCTCAGATTTCACCAAAAATCATTGTTTCTACCTGCGTTCTGTACATTAAGATTGCAATTAAAATATTGTCATTTAGATTTTTTAACAGGAAAACTTTTTTTTTATGGATAGGTGTCATGTGCACTGGGTCTTTATGTTATCAATTGCTCAAAGAAAGTTTTGTTAGAATTTATTGTCCCAAAAACCAAACTGTGTCCAGGTTTCAACCAGCGAGTTGTTGATTTGAAGTTAAGTTGACAGAGTTCCTCCTACTGGAAACATTTTGAATTTAATATAAGCATTCTAGACAAAAGTTTTGGAAATGTGCTGCAGTTTGAAACAGCTGGTTACTGTTCTCAAGGACACAAACTAAAGTTTCACCATCTTCAGCAGGTGTGAATCTGTGTTCATGCCGAGTGAGTAATGCTTACTCCTGCTGTGTTTGCTTAAAGTCTTTGCTGTTTGAAGGTTATTATTAGAACATCAACTCTCAGGACTCATTTCTTTGTCTTTCACAGGTGAGGCGAGGCCAACGCACTGTTCAAACTGAGACCAAGTACATTGAGCTGATGATCGTCAATGACTATGAGCTGGTAGGTTGGATTTGTCTGTTTCTCACCTCTTGAAAGTGATATTAAAAGTTGTTAGATGATGAAATATGAAAAAAACAACAACAAAAGCTCTGTTTTCTGTTAGTTTGTGCAGCTCCGCAGATCAACCACGCAAGCAAAGATTTTTGCCAAATCCGTGGTGAACTTGGCAGATTTGGTGAGAAATTTCTCGAATTAAAATGCATGAACTGTACTTTAAAAATGGACTGGGCCAAAGTGCCTTAATAATTTCATTACTGTCATGTCCTTGTTTTTATCCAGTTCTTTTGAATCAGTTGTTTATTCTCAAATTAGACATTTTTAGATGACATTGTAACAAGTTTTATATATTTCAGATTTCTTCTCCGTTTGCAGTGGATCAGGAGTATATATTTAATTCCATAGTACTGAGAAGGTTTTAATTTTGAATTTTGTCCTATCCAATTATTTTTAAAAACTAAATCTTTCGTAGAAATATCAATAAGAGAGGCAAAACCTTTAATATTAGGACTAAAATTAGGTAGGCATTGTTTATTTATTAGTAAATTATTAAATATTTATGTATTTACTTTAATAAGCATTTGTGATGGTTTGGTGCTTCTTCAGAATTCATTTTTTAGGATACAGTCTTTGGCTCAAAAGCAACCCTCATTTTAAGGAGGCTAACAGTTTTATTGGTTTCCATGGAAACAGATAGCTGTCTGTCTTCTGCTGCTGCATTATGCTTTAAAGTTGCTGACATAAATGTCTCCCCTACCTTCAAGAAGGGAAAATAGAGTTTAGATTGGAGTTAAAAATCAGATTTGCAGCTTCTAATGCTGCAGATATGGTGAATAGAGTAGAATGGAATAGTCCTGTACTCTTTCACAGTTGGGGAATTTGGGTGTTTTTAATAGCAAGTTAAAGAAAAGTTTACCATTTTTAAAATGATTGAAAATTGGTTTAGGTGTCAAGGAATCGCCTGTGGGGTGCTACACAGTTAGTAGCACTGTTCTGCTTTAGGAAGAAAGTTCTTGGTTTTGTTTCGTGGGCTGGGTTCTTTGTTCCACCACAGTACAAAGACATGAATGATTAGGTGATTCGTCTCTCTAAATTGCCTTGGTTTGCCTGTAATCATCTACGATTGTTTGTCTGGTGTGTCTCTGTGATGGACTGCCTGCCTCACTGTTACCCCACTGAAGAGTAATGAATAGATACCAGCCCATTCAGTAAGATAAGTGGGCATAGACAGTGATTAAGAGGACCTGTGCACATACAGCAGCTCTGCATAACTATTAACATACCTGCTTAAAATGTTTAAAAAGTCCTTGAAGCAAGTTTTTGTCATAAGCATTTGATAAATCCTAAATACCAAGAATCAGTATAATGGTTTGGTCCTAATCCAGTGATGTTTGTTACAGCTCTAGCATTAAACCTTAGCTACAGTATTACTTTTGAGAGGTGTGCACATATTTTCACATTGCCCTGATTTATAAATATTAGCACACCCCGTCCTTACTTTAGTGACATGCTCTCTAGTCTTTCCCTTTTTATCACAGAAACTATAGAAAATAAAGGGCATCTATGATGTAATATGTAGACACCAATGATCCATAATGATCCTGTCTTTTATTTAGCAGTCTCTTCAGATCACTGTTGGGCCAGGGTTTATTTCTGGTAAGAACTTCACAGTTTTGGTGGGGATAGTGTTATCTATCCAGAACTAAATGTACTCAGTTATAAACTTATAAATCATTGCATTGATGTCCTCTTAATGTGGTCGACACAACGCATCCAAGTCTGGAGCCTCAAAACAAACTTATAGTGCTTCTCCAGCTTCCTGTGGTTAAATTCTTGCAGTTCCCTTTAATGCAGGTTACCTCTTTTCATTGGGCTCATCTAATCAGAGAAAACAAGATTGTGATCCCATTTTCAAGATGACTTGAAATATTATCTTGCTTTAGATAATATTTGCATAAAACAAGTGCAAAGTTTTGTTTTCACTGGTGCAGCAGCTGACAAACTGTTTGATTATTGGCTGAGTAGCAGAGATTCAGGGGTGATTAAAATCATGCCTGTTATTGCCAAAAATATATTTGCCTGTTGTGTCTGTAGATTAACAAAAACCTAAACCAAAACATGCAGTGTAGACATGCAGCCATCTTTTGCAACACAATTCAAGGATCTAACTCTAATTTAAGGCAGTTTTTTTAAAGCACCCCTATGAATTACTGCTAATTAAATTAACAGATTTTTATAAAATTATCCCCCATTAATAAAAGTACATTTAAACCTTTTAGTTGCAGAGGCAACTGTGCCTGACCTGTTGCATAAATCTGCCTGGGTTTCCCTTTTTTCTGTGTTTCCAGATCTACAAGGAGCAGCTCAACACCCGCATTGTCCTGGTGGCCATGGAAACCTGGTCGTCTGAAAACAAGATCGCCATTGGTGATGATGCCTTGCTGACCCTGCGAGACTTCATGAAGTACAGGAAGGAGAGCATCAAGCAGCGCTATGATGCTGTACACCTCTTCTCGTAATTTCTTTTATTATTACTTTAGTTTTTTACTTACTGATCTGCGCTCTTGTAGACCTCCTCCCAGTTTGTTGTCTTTGCTCTCATCCAAATAAATTTGCATTTGTGTTTCAGAGGGCGGACGTTCAGGAGCAGCCGCAGCGAGGCATCTTACATTGGGGGCATCTGCTCGCTGACAAGGGGTGGGGGCATCAATGAGGTGAGGTGGAGCATGAGCTGTAGCAGTACGTAGCTCCCATGATAACTTTTCCCAGTAATTCTTTTAAATTGATTTGATTTGTGATTCCTCAGTTTGGCAGTGTGGGTCCGATGGCCATCACTCTGTGTCAGAGTCTTGGGCAGAACATCGGCATGCTTAGGAACAAAGATCAAACAGCCGCAGGTAACACATGATTGATGTTAACAAACTGACAGATTCAGAGACCATGTCAAATTACTAACTTACTTTAATCAGCTGTCTTCAATCTATATGACTGGTTTTGACAAAGTCTGAATTTACTTTTCCTACTTAAACATGTTTATATGACCTTGTAGTTTTTATTATTTTTTCAACAGAAAGTAACATTTGGACATTTACAGTAACTGTTCATTGACACGTAACACTTTAAAATGAGACCGGGAAAAAGTTTGAAACCCACATAGCGTGTACTATGAACCCTTTTTATAACTTAGACTAGGGCTGCTACTAGCAATTATTTGCAAATCAATTAATCCGTCCATTATTTTTTTCAAATAATTGATTAATAATCGATTAGCGAAAATTTCCTTAAAGAAGTTTTCTTTATGAAACTAAACCAGGTGAAACTAAAACTTTTCCAATTGAGGAGTTCTGGATAAAACTCCTCAAATTCTTACAGCTTAAAACATATTTTGCTATCTCTATTTTTCAGTTACCACCACTTGTCAGTTTGGTTGGATAAAAAAATTTAAAATTCAGAATCTCAGCAAGCTGCTAGTTTCAGTTGTATTATTTGTATCGCTTTCTGAGGAAGAGTTATTATTGCAAGTGGCAACTGCTATAAGTCTTTCCCTTCCAGTCTGATGGCTGTTGGTTCAACATTTGGTTTAAACTTTTGAAAGTTGCTATAATACTTATTTTGGCCAATGTGACCAATTTTTATTGGTTTGCCCTTTTTACCAATATAGATTGGGTAAAAACACCGCCAAATTAGATTGGCTGGTTTAACCAAAAGATTGGTTTGACACATAACTTCCAACATGATTAAAACCAAAAAACTGTGGAAAACTATTATTTTTGAATAGAAATGACTGACACCTTTTATTTTGCTCATCATTGCCCAATTTGCACAATAACTTTCACTGTCGGCTTGAGCTTATTTCACTAAGATGACAGAAAATGTTTGTCTTTAAAGATAGTTCTCTTCTAAGACATTCTACACACACAAAAAATTACAAAAGACTTTATTATACACACCATGAACAACTTCAAAAGAACTTAAAAACAGGAAAAACAATAGCAAAAAATCACATATTATTATACTAACTGTAGTTATGTTCTCCGCCAGTAAGTGTGACATATTCAAAGCTTCATGAACTTGGGATTGTTGAAGCAATTTGCCCAAAATGGTTTAATGCCTCATGAGGCTTCATCGCTACTGCAGAGGAGAAATATATATAGGGAGACAGAACAATGAATGGAGTAATTAGCTAATTGGGAGGAGGCGTGGACAGAAGAGACTAGAAGAGAGCTAAGGGGAAAGGAGAGGAGCATAAAGAGTAACCAGGGAAATACAATAGGGCTAGAAAGACTAATATAACATAAAAGGGAAAAGAAACTAATGAGTAAGAAACACAGACTGACCAAAGTCAAAGCAAAACTGAAAACCTGAACAGAACCAAAATGTCCAGAGAAGCAGCTATGATAAAAGTAGGCTTAATTATATATTATTAACTTTGGTTTTAACTTGACCAGTTAGAACATTTGCAATATGGGTTTTTCGTTAAAAACCTGCTCTTTTAAGTGGAATTTGAGTCTCAAAGATGCATTCTTCTTGATGTAACATGATTTTAATCAGAAATGCCATAAAACTCCTTATATAGGATTGGTTAGAGACATTTTACTTTTACTGCTCCACTAGGTTAAGCTTTAGCTTTGTATTATGATGTCTTTTTAATCACAGCAATGTTTTGTTTGTCCAGGAGGCTGCAGGTGTCCAGATTGGTCGGGCTGCATCATGGAGGATACAGGGTATGACAGATTTGGGAGAATATAATAAACAATTTAACATGTAGATGTGTAAGAAACATTTACATTATGTCTTGCAAACATGTTCACGCCTCATTTTGTCATGCTATAAACACAAGCTTTACCTGATAGGCTAAATCAAAATAGAGTGGAACTGATTTGGAAAGAAGTTGTGATCTTCTTTGTGTTGGTTTTACAAACAAAGCATGATTGTGCTTCAGTCTTAACAGTTTTATTACAGTTCTGTCGAATTGTTTGGCTTACGTTTAGCACCCTGGTCTTAAATGTTCCCCAACCTATAATACCAGTTTTTCTTCTACGATTGTTTCTGACTGAAAGCTGAAATTGAAACTGCAAGCTTCCCTTTCCCAAGCATATAGGAAAAACCTCCCCACAGCATTCTGCTGTCACCTCCATGTTTCACAGTAGAAATTGATGCTATACTCTATTTTGTGTTGATCAATCAAGTAAAATAACTTTTAATTCAATAAAATTTGTAATTGTCACACCATAAAACGTTCCTAACGAAAAAGGTATGAATACTTAAGCAAGACTGAATTTTTTGTTCGATGCTTTACTTATGAATATTACCCAACAAAAGTTAACTGCCGTTATTATATCTACTTCCATCAGCTATTACCTGCCGAGGAAGTTCTCCCGCTGCAGTATAGATCAGTACCTACGCTTCCTCCAGCAAGGAGGGGGGAGCTGCCTGTTTAACAAGCCGACAAAGGTGAGAGGCAGCTGGCTTTTTTAGTTCTGCTTATGTGAATTAATCTGTGGATTATTTTTTTCATTAACTGATTAATAATCTGATAGCAAAAGGTTCCTTAAAGAAGATTTTTAAAGAATTAAATCAAGTGAAACAAACATTTTCCATGTGAGAATTTCTGGATAGAGCATATTGACAGACATAAACGTTTTTTTTTTTTTTTATCTTAATTCAAAAATTTTATATATTTTTTGAAAAATGTTTATAGAATTACTGCTCTAAGTGGGTTGCTCTGTCAGCTAAAGCCATGTTTTAGAGTCTCTATTATCCAGTTAAGGATTAACGATTACTAAAATAGTTGATGATTATTTCAATAATCGATTAATTATGATTAATCTGATTATTAGTTTCAGCCCTATCAGCTATCAATGTGGTGCAGTTTACTCATCTGTTATCTTTTGTAGCTTTTAGACCCGCCAGAGTGTGGCAATGGATATGTGGAGCTGGGAGAGCAATGTGACTGTGGATCACTGGTGGTAAGTATACTTTCATATCAAGTATAATTATATTTTTAATACTGCACCCTTATTGGTACCTCTGATAATAATGTGTCTTAAACTGCCTGAAAATTAAATGATCCTTTATTCTAGAAGCATAATTTCATGCTGAAAGAGAAGAAATGAAGAAAATAAATCTTTCTTTTTACAAACCCCTTGATGCCATACTTCTTTGCCCCTTGTAATTATTATTAAACAGATGCAGGCAAAATGTTTTGTAGTTTATACTACAGAATATTCACATGTGTGGCATCTTGGGGGGTTTCAGTAATAACAGATGGAAGTCAGCTATTCTCATAGAGTGTTTTTGCAAGAATACTAGAAAAAAAACCTTCTGCTGTCCTACTATCTCAAACATAAACATGGGAGTTTGCTAAACTCTTCTGGGATTTTAACTCCAATGGTCAGCTGTGGTGACATTAAAATGCAGATTGACTTTTTTAAACAGCAAACACTCCAGCTGGGTCTGATGTCAAATAAGGGATTAATATGTATGAAAAACACCTTAAGTTCAGTGGAAGACCTGTGATGCTCTGAGTCTTTTGTTCTTCCACACAGTCCAGGGATCTACAAGGATTTCAATTCAGATTTGTTTTGCGTGTTCATGTAGATTTCTACTTAAATATAAAACCTGCTTGCGAAAAAAGAATGTCACACAGCAGCACGCTGTTAATGAAGTTAATAACAGCCGGGATCTCTGTTGTTGAACAATGGGAGACAACGATCTTATGATCACATCACATCAGAGCAGAACTATTTATAATGTGTTTCTTTGGAGCAGCGTCTGCTGTGTTGTACAGGAATCTATGAAGGAATAGTGAGAGCCTTGATGATAACGTGAGAGTCGGATGGATTATAACTTAACCGCTCAGACCGCAGACGCTTTATAACTATCAGATTTGATTTAGTAAAACATACAGAACTGGCATGATTAGGATTTTTTTTTTTAAGTGAAAAAAATCTGAATTTGGTCTTTTTACTTGCAGAAGGACTGTAGCTACTCTGAACTCTTTATCATATCAGAAAATGCATTTAAAACTCTTCTGGCCTCAACCAGGAAACTGAAAATATTTAAGCTTTTGATCATACAATAAATTATGGTTCAATAATCTATTGTGTGGCAAAACCAACCGTCCCAATAGCGTCTCAGACTGCAGACCTAAATGCTGCTAAAAACTAATGAAATAGGGAGAAGATGAGAACAGAGCCATGACCCTGACTGAGACACTCACCTGTTGGCAAAGGTTGTATGTTGGTTGCTGTATGGTTGCTGTTTACACCCCTTGCACACCTCCTTGTGGTCGGGTTAGGAACTTACCTTCTCTGCAGCACAGGTTGATATTATAGGGAACAACTGGCTTGGTGAGGTCCTTGTTATTCCAAGACAACAAACTCATTTTTATTTTGTTCTCCTTTACAGGTAGGCTGCAAAGCTTTCGATTTTTAGCTATTTTTTACTTACATATAGTAGAAAATTTGTTAAATTAATCTGTATGAGCATCTACGGAGCAAGCTGACACGAAAAATATGTATTTTTAGGCTTTTCACACCAGGAGTGCCAATAAACATGCTGCAATTATATAAAAAAACTGGTTGGAAAGCTAAAGTAATTTTTTTTAACATTTAGCACATAACTTGGTAATAACCCACAATTTAGTCTGCTGAGAAGCCTGAATGATGCAAACTAGGATTTTATTAACATTGTCAGCTATTTTTATTTAAGTAGCTTTTTATACAGTGCCACTGCAGGATCTTAAAAAAATAAAAAGCTAAATTAATGCAATTTCCATAATCTCAGTTAAAGAAAAAGATAAGCAGGATTTCAAACTAAAAATCTTTTGTCCCTTTGAAACATGACGCTTGGAGCTCTACCTGCTCTGTCTCTTTACACCTGGAATAAATGACTATGCTCTCTCTGGCCTTTAGGACTGTACTCAAAGTGGAGCCAACTGTTGTAAGAAGTGCACTTTGACCCACAACGCCATGTGCAGCAATGGGCTCTGTTGCAGGGACTGCAAGGTGAGCCCTACCGACTTATTAAACATTTCCACTTCTGAGATGTTCTGCAGATGCCCAGGAAATGACGTGAAACTTTTCTGAATATGATAAATATTGCAACTGTTATTATATTCAGACTAATATTGCAATATTGCAAGTTCTGGTGAGGATTGTGATTTACTTTTTATCTGTCCTCCAGTATGAGCTCAGAGGAGTGACGTGCCGTGGTGCTGTGAATGACTGCGACATTCCTGAGACCTGCACAGGAGACTCCAGCCAGGTGAAGAAGAACATCTACCAGGCTTCTTAGGACGATATCCAGAAATGCATGTTTAGTTCAAGGCATATCTGATGGAGCTGTCTCTTTCAGTGTCCTCACAATGTCCACAAGCTGGACGGGTACACATGTGAAGCGGGCCAGGTGAAATAACATGTTTATATTTATCTTTGTGCCGTCATCGAAGTGCTTTATCTCTCTTTTAATGTTGTGTCCAATCTTCCCATCAGGGTCGGTGTTATGGTGGCCGCTGTAAGACCAGAGATGGCCAGTGCAGAAGTCTGTGGGGCTTCAGTAAGTTTTTGAAGCCACACTGCCTCCTAATGGTACTTTGGGGAACTTCAAATCTCCTTGAGAGAATTTTTTGAAAATAAAAACATTCATAACCCTTGAATCTCTTGACATTTTGCCATATTACAATGCTGTGGCGTGTGTTTAAACACTCCACAGTGTTATATGTACTGAGACTAAATTACACAGCTAATCTCACTGGGTTTAAATATCATGGCAAATGGGCTGGATGAAATTCCTACTTTGTTGGACTGTCACCTTAGATCTTAATAAAATACTTTAAGGTTGGTTTCTCTAAAGTGAGAAAGCCTGACTTTTATAAGGAGCTGGATAATTTGTTTTTGATGACTTTAATCTTTCCTCAGACTCAGCTGACAGATTTTGTTATGAAAAGCTTAATTCGGAGGGAACAGAGAAAGGGAACTGTGGACCGAACCCCGGAGGGCAGGGATGGCTGCCGTGCAACAAACAGTAAGATCATCCTTACAAAACCTTCAGCATCATTTTTTTTGTTTTTTTTATAAATCTCAGTGCTGTCTACTCCTGTCACGCAGAGATGTTCTGTGTGGGCTGCTGCTTTGCACCAATCTAACAGAAAGGCCCAGATTTGGTGAACTGCAGGGAAAGCTCACCAGTTTGACAATCCATCACCAAAGCAGATACCTGGACTGCAGGTGAGCCAGGAAAGGAAACGTTTCAAGGTCAAAAAGGATGCTTAATTTGGTCGATTTACTGAGACTGTTTGAGTTCCAGTGGGGGTCATGCAGTGCTGGATGATGGTCTGGATCTAGGCTACGTGGAGGACGGGACGCCGTGTGGGCCAAACATGATGTGTTTGGAGCGCCGATGCCTTCCTGTCCCCACCTTCAACCTCAGCTCCTGCCCAGGCTCCCCAACCTCACACATCTGCTCCAACCATGGGGTGAGTCCACTCTCCTAATCCCCAGAACAAAAACCCTGCCCCGCTCGACTTTTCATGGCTAAATCTAATCATCACAGAGATTAACTACCATGGAACTTCAGTCCGAATTCCCAAAAAGCTCCTCTGGTTATGATTGTTCCTAGGTCACCAGTTAGACTTTACCAAAACCAACCAAAGCACACAACTTGTCTGTTGTCTGGCAGTGACGGTTCTGACCACATTCTCTAGAAGGGGGGGGGGGTCACATGTTTTCATGGGGGCAAAGAAGTGTAGGGAAATTTCCACTTCATTTAGTTCATTTAAAGTTTTTTGTTATACTTGGAAATTTGTATTTTTGATTTAAAAAATGTAGTTTCATTTCCCTTGAATAAAAAAAAGCAACAAAAAATATTAAAAAATAGTTGCTAAATAAGTTATTCACTGGAATGTTGTTTCTTTGGTCAATATACATTAAAATTCAGGAATATTACAGAAATTATAATTGAAGTAAAATGGATAAGGCATAGTCTTTTTCCACATGGTTAAAAATAACATTTAACAGATCAAAACTGTGATTCTGTCTCTATACAACTGATTCTATCACCATAATTTTTAAGTAAAAAAAAAAATTGTTCAGAAAAAAATCCAAGGGACCTAAATAGTCATCATCTACCTATGATCATTAGATTTTTTTTTTTTTTTTTTTTTTGTATTATGTTTTAAGTAGAGGATTGAAGCTGAGAAACCTGCTGATTTCCTCCTGTTTCCTTTTAGACCTGCAGTAATGAGGTGAAGTGTATCTGTGATCCTGAATACACCGGAAAGGACTGCAGCGTGTTCGACCCGAGCCCCTCTCCAACCCCAGCAGAGGACCTAGAAAAAAGAGGTAACCACACAGATCCTCCTACAGGATATTAGCAAACCTCTGCCAAGGCAAGTCCACTGTTTATTTTAGAAGTTCATAGTTTGACTCAAATTGTAAAGCAAAACAAGACAGTTTAGTGTGAAAAGGATTGAATAAATTAAAAACCAAAAGCTGTGCTTGATTACTGTAGTTCAAGCAGTTAGTGGAGAGGGTGTGACATTCCCTGACAAACAGAGTTCCCACAGTGCCTACTGTATGAAGCAGGTCCTGGAAAAAATAAATTGCCGAATCTTAATTTCAGCTCCTTTCACTATCGGCTGCAGGGCCCTTTTAATGGTCATAATGTAGCTGGACCAACAAAGTGAGATTTAGTTAAACACATCTAAAAAGAGAACAATTAAAGTGTTTTTCTTTTTAGGTTATAAAACTTATAATTCTCAGTCTATTTTCTGAGTCTCACCGGTTGAATTCGCTCCCACAGGGCCCAGTGGAACCAATATCATAATAGGTTCAGTTGCCGGTGCAATTCTGATAGCTGCAATAATCCTGGGGGGAACTGGCTGGGGATTCAAGTAAGAGCTCTGGCATGCCTCTGTGCATGTCTCTGCCCCTCCATGTGTGTTGTGCTCCTTCAAGCATGCTGCTGCCTGACACGCCTTCTATCTACTGTCTGCTCCAACCTGACTGAGACCATTAGGGCTTTTAAAAGCGGCTGCATCCTCAGTATGAGTTTGTAAATCTACATGTTTGTTCAGTTACATGACTTATTAATCTTTTTTATTATTATTGTATGAATAATATTTAGAGGCTCGTTAGGCTTTGCATGGCTGATGACAAACACTACATTACATTGTACATTACAATGTCACCAAGTGACTATCAATGCATTAAATGCATGGAGGAAATTGGTACCAAAATTTTCCTCGACTGATTCAAAACAAAATGGAAGTAATCATATTTTAGACCAAAGGAAGAGTATTCAAAAGTTAACACACAGCTTCAGTTAATTAACCACTAACCAAAGTAGTAATGGATGCAGACCTGAAACTTCAAAAACACATAAAGGCAGTAACAAAGTCTTCTATCAGATAAAGAACGTCTCCAGGATTAAGAGACAAATGTCTCAACAGGACCTTCAAAAACCTAGTCATGCGTTCTTCTTTAGTGGGCTTGATTTAGGTTTGCCTAAAAGTAAATCAAACAGCTGCAGTTGACTCAGAATATTGCAGCCTCACTAGGAGGATGTATAGCACATCTTCCCAGCTATCTCTGATCATTTAAAATCCTTCAGTTAATCACCGAAATACTATAATCTACTCTATATACCAACAATTAGAACCAAGCAGCTTTTAGTTCATATGCTCCACTAATCTGGAATAAACTCCTAGACAACTGTTAAACTTAAGTTGAGTTTAACATTGTAATTTTTATGGTGGTCTTTGACCTAAACATTAAATTTGTAGTCCCAACTTTCTTCCTTTTTATTTATTTTTTTATTATCTAGCAATGCACCTTTACCTGTGTTTCCATGTCCCTAATATGCAAAGCACTTTGAATTGTCTTGCTACTGAAATGTGATATATAGATAAACCGGCCTTGCCTTGTAGGAATAAATGTGGTGCAAAGTATTTTTGTTAACAGATTTCTTAACGTGGAAATTGTTTTCCTTTTGAATGTTTCTTTATTAATAATAGATTAAGGAAAAAAAGGGCAATATCTTTGGATTTCAGAATTTATCTTTTCGTTTTCAAATAACTAAAGTTTGACCAGCTTTTTTTTTTTTCTAAAATAGCTAATAGCTATTACCTGCTGTATATCCAATGATATGTTAAATTTTTTATTAATTTTTGTGCCTTAAGGGTCTGACTTTTCCAGCCGTCATTCCCACAATCCTCTGTTTCCCAAGTTTTTTTTATCCTACTGAATCAGGAATTAGGATGAGACGATGGTCTGTTTGATGCTCAGAAAAATTTTTATGATGATTATTTTAATCATTTGAGTTTACCTAGGAAGAAAATAGTTCCAGGATCAGCTATTTTAAAATATGGTGCTGCTAAAGATGGTATTTGTGGCATGAACACAGTTTTTAATGTTTTTTTATTTATAGAAGTTTAGATATCTTTATTTAAGGAAATGTGCTTTGCAAAAAAAAAAAAAAGTTTTTCAACCTGAAATCTTAACAAAAATCTATGCACCACGTTCCACCTTGGAGAGCTGCTGCTCCTATTCTAAAGCAGGACCATTAGATGTGTGAGTCTGTAGTAAACGAACTTCTAACAACAAATCAGCAGGATTTAGTTGGATTTAGAACCATGTTTACATGGTCTTTGTTTCTTCTGTTGGTTTTCTTTCTGCTTTGTTTACAATCTGCTTCTTGTTATCCTCTCAGCAGCTTTGCATTGGCATGTCTGCACTATCATTTATAATCTTCCATCATCATCTCAGAAATGCTCTGATAAACACACCCATGCTGGCAGAGTTTAGTCTGCGATGCTGAATGACAGGACCTGCTTCCCACTCCTCTTTCTGCTCTTGAAACTTTTAAACCAGCAGATTTTTTTCTAGTGTGGTTCATGCGTAAGTTGATGATCTCACTGGAGTTTGTTTTCTGCTTTGTCTCCTCCCTTCATCTCTATCGATCCAGGAACATCAGGAAAGGACGGTACGAATCAGGCATTTAATCCTAATCCCAGTCCTAGAGCATCGCTGGCCTTACTTTCCTGTTCAGTATTAGTTTAATTCTTTATTATCATTTACAAAATATCCTTATCTCTAAAGAGACTTGTGGTTTATCTTCCTTTGCACCACTTTTTCCATTAATGAAACACTTTGTCTATATTGTCTTCTATTTATATATAATAAAGCTATTACGGTTTGGATCCAGCAGCTAAAAAAAAGCTAAGAAATAATTCATTTGTTCAATGTTTAATTTATTTTTAGTCAGAAACTTGTTTTTAAGTCATAGTTTAATCCTCTGCTTTGTCTGTGACATTATTTTGTGGTTGTTTTTTTTTATGCTTTACTTCTGCTGTGTTTATATAAAATGTCCTGGATTTTCCCCCCTCAAGTCCATCATATGCTTTTTAAACCCCACTCTTTATTTTGTTCTCTCCCTTGTGTATAAATTGCTTCAAAAAGTTTTGATTTAAGGTTTCCACATGCTGAAGTTCTTTTTATACATACATAAAAATCAACTTTTAGCAACTGTACTAAAAACTTACAAAATTTCTGCCATTTTGATTTGGAAATCGTTTTTGAGTTTTCACAGGCAAAAAATGCTTCAAGCTTCAAAACTGCCTTTGAAAAATGAAAAATATTGTTGTGTTGGGGGAACTAGAGTTAATATTAGATTTAAATTAAATGCAATAGAAAAATGTTGGATTTTTTTGGCAGGTATTTTTTTCATATGCTCATTTTCTAGGATCAAAAGACAAGTGTCTTATTTTTTGGGTTCTATGGGTTTATAGATTGAAACCAAACATGAGGAAAATTATGTTGTCAGGTTAATTTCAAAAGTTCTTATTTTAAACCTGTTCCTCTCACCATAATAAGTATCAGTATCATGGTTTTACACAGTTATCTATATGTTTTAATCTTTTTATCTGCCTTTCTATTCTGTCTCCTCTTTTCCTGCTATCATGTCCAGATCTTCAGGAGTCTGAATTGTGTTTCCTGTCTTCCTTCTATCCTGTCCCCTTTGAGGGAAGAGAACAGAGCCGTCTTCTTCTTCCTCAGCCATCGGGTCTTTTTATTTATTTTTTTTCCTATCTCCTGCTCCGACCGTTGATTCTAACTCCAGCTGAGTTTAGTCTGCCTGGAGAAAAAACATCTGAATGATGGGGAAGTCAGGAGGAAGAAGGATCTTCCCAATGTTCTTGCCGGCAGTCGTTGGATTTGTATGGGAGCTGATTTCTACGTTACAGTTGACCGCATCGCTTCCTGTTTTCTTCTTATTTAACCTCATGGTTCTGGACACAGACTGTAGATCCGACTCTTATGTTTCCCCCCTTTAAGTAATTAAAACAAACCTCTGAGTTCCTGGAGCAGCCTTCTCCTCTCTATGATGGGACTTTACCTGCAATACAGGTGGTTCAAATATCATTTATTGTAATTGAAAGTTGGCATTTTGTCCACTCAGACATGCCGTAGATTAGAACTGTACATTCCACAATAATAGCCATAATTTCTGCTCTTATGCTGCCTTGATATGATATATGTGCTACAGGACCTTTTAAAGGAAGCTTGTTCTTAAAGACATCGGAACAGCCTGACGGAAAATTGCACATGTCTGCACTGAATGTATTCTCCCTGCTGTAAAATATATAATCCATATCCAAACTTATATATTTACATATGTACATATATTCAGACATAGGAAAAGGTTTAGGAGCTTCTTAGTTTGGGGGATTTTTTATTTGTTTATAACTGACAGAGCTCTCGAAGTAGCACTTTCCTTTTACTATATCATTTCTTATGAAAGCTGTAAAAAGGGAGTGATAACATGTTTATTGGAGTAACAGAAAATATGAATTATTACAGAATTAGACCGAGTTAGAATTAGCGTCCTCTTCTAAATATAGCCTCTAGATCCCTCCTGTTAGCCTTTGTGGAGTTTCTAGATCAGAGGTCTTCATTACCCTATCCCCAACCCTCCATATTTAACTTTCTGATTTTTGTAAAAGAAATTATCTCAGTGGTCGACCTCCATCTTTGTGTCGCTATTAGTCACAGCCAAAGCCCAAGTAATTATCTGTTACAAACATTTAAATCAGTAAATTTGCAAATGTCCACATCTTTGCACACTTTTTTCAACTTTAGTGCACTTCTTACATCAAAATCAAATATTTACATACCCCCTTTAATCTCAGCCTACTGTCAGAAAAACAAGCCACTAGTGTCCGTACTCAAAAAAATAAAAATAAATAAAAAGGATTTGCTAATAATCTTTATTTGGTAACTATCCCAGTACTCGGATGTTCCTCAGAATGGTAAATATGCTGCTGTTTCTTTTTACATTAAAGTACAGGGAATTATTGTGAAGGCTTCGCAAACTTTTTCTTATGACGTTACATATGCATACAGAAATGCTAAACATGGGTGCTGTTGTAAATAGCTTAGAGTCTAAATTAGACAGCAGTGACTTACTGCCACTGTGAACGGAAGCACAAGTCTTTTACAGAGACTCTTCTTCCTGCCTCCAATAGAGGAAATAGTCAGAAAGGGTCTAAATACAACAGTTGGCGACTGTCATGTTACATATATGCCTCAGAGAGATTTAAACACAACGCCAGGGTGTGTAATTGACACATCAGGTCAGGAATCTCCTGCTGGGACTTGGAAACTCCTGTATACAGTTTTTACATTTTGTCCTGTTGAAACCGCAAACCTGATTTTATGCGAAAGATCAACACAAAGTGATCGTTTGATGCTGAAGTGGGGTTTTGGGTTACATCTCTTCCAACTTTGAATTTGGTTCACTTTTCTTTGGCAAAGTTTCATTTCAATCAGGTTCTGTCACCTGCCTTGACTCATGTAAACTTAAGCGTCCTCTCATTCTTAATCTACAGAGCTCAATACGTCATTGGTTCCCCTGTGCAGCTATGGAAGCTTAACCCTTCAGGAAACGCTGTCATATGGTCTAGGAGAGGGTTTATGGGAAGTTTCGGACATTTTTTTGGAGGTCACACCCTGATGTTGGATGAGAAGGCCTGGCTCTCAGCCTCCGCTCTAATTCATCCCAAAGGTGTTTTGTTGGGTTATCGTCAGGAATCCATGCAGCCCAGTCAGGCTAATACCAAATTTTTTACACACATTAATTTAATGACCTTGCTGCACATGCATTTTTCCTATTGGAAGAGGAAGTGATCATGTTCAAACAACTCCCACAAAATTCAATGATGCAGAAGCACGATTACTAAATCACTGCAAAAACTATCTAGAAATAAGTGCAAGTTGCTTAAAATAAGTGCATTTACCCTTAAATTTAAGTAGGTAAATAAGACAATCTTCTAACGGAATGAGTCGTTTTACTCTTGGATAAGATCATTAGATTGTACACTTTTTTGCACTTGAAATAATGAAATGCAATATCTTTTTTATATCTTTTTTTATTTTATCTTTTTTACTTCTGTCCACCTCGTGTCTATACATGGCAATCACTTCCACTTGAAGATACCACTGACAGTTGACAAACATGACTAGATTTCCATCACAGTACCTCTTTGGAATTCACCAAGCTAAAAATTACTAGACCTTTGCCAAAGGTTTGTAGAAAGAGTGCATGCCATGGAAATATTTTTAACAACTAAATTATATTATTTAAATTGTTAAAGAATACTTTTGGCAATATAATTTAAGTCTTCCCACAGATCCTCAATTGGAACTTTTATTAGGCTTCTCTACCGCATGAATATGTCTAAATCTAAACGGTATCCATCAATCCACTGATAGGTTATACCTGCAGGGTCACTTTTTAAAATGTAAAAATAATATTAGAAAACTGTGCCACTTCCCAATTACTTCACTTTATGTTGATCTGATATATAAACTGATAAAATGCATTGAAGTTTGTGGTTTAAATCTGACCAAATGTAAACAACTTGTGCAAGGCACAGTAAATTTATGCAGCTGTGCAACCAAACTGCGAAAAGCATATAAAATATAAAGTTAAGTGATACAAAAGTTTCACATAAGCAATACATTTAGTTTAGATCATAATATCTAAACTGTTACTATGTAGAAAACCAGTAAAATTAGTTAAGCTGTTTTTCTGTGACATCACTTCCTTCTGAGCTGTGGAGTGTGTCACATCTGGCTCCTCCGGTTATCCCTCATCAGGTGTTGCCTTCTAACAGGTTTCAGCAGGGCAGCAGCGTAGATCCCAAGAAGAACGATCAAACTACACTGCCAGCATCCTACAGTGGCATTAAAGGAGTATCTTCTGATTTAAAGGCAGGATGATGACTGAGGAAAAGATGAGGTTATGATTTGTTTCCTGAGTATGGATGTGGATGTTGGCATCATTTACTCCTGACTTTCGATGCAAACACATAATTAACTATATTAAAGAATACCTGAATACCTGATTTTGATGGTGTATTTGGTGTTTGTCTAACCGGAAAATGTCTCATTACTCTTATATTTTACTAATTAGATATCCTATAAAACAAAACACATTTCACTAGTTTTAGCTGAGCAACTATTGGTGGCTTTGTTTTAATGAGGATTATCTGAGTTTAAAGTCTTGGACAACTTCGACATGATACTGTTTTGAAAAAGGATGCATTTGTTTTACTAATGGAAGAAAAAAAATGTAGAGAGATTAAAATCTTCATCAAAATGGGAAATGTATTATTTTATCCTTTCAGTTAGTTAGAATAATGTAATAAATTCCTTTATAGGAAAACATTTAAATACAGAAAGATGAATCAAAGAGCGGAATAGCACAAACTGAAATGCCTTATTTACAGAAACCATTTTTTTTAAGAACCACAATACTGTCCTCATTTAGCAAAAAGTAGGGAATTTGGGTCATAACAACAACAACAACAAAAAAAGTGGCTCTCAAAGTATTTCCATTTTGAACTGACTGGTTAATTTGTTTTAAATAAAATTTTATTGATTAAATTCATTCACAATTTCAAATTATATTAAAGCTTTATTTGTGACGTTACATCATTCCATAAAAACAGATAGGGAAAGAATATTTAAAAATAACCCTCTGATAACCTTGTTGCAATAATGTTGGTAAAAATTTTGTTTAAGGGACGTTTTCTGGCCTTTATGTCTCCTTTGAGTTGATTAAAGTTGATTTTCTCATGACAGTATTTACTTACTGTAACATTGTAGATGTTTTCCAATCAATAAGTTCATTTATATAGCAGGTGTGAATTAATAAAAGACTGAATCCTCAGGTTAAACCAAACTATATTTAAAGACCTATTACCTTTTTTTTTATTTTACTTTTTGGTTCTTCCTGACAAAAAAAAACAACAATATTCTTACTAAAGTCGCTTTGGTTTAAGCATCCATACTTTGTCATAATTTTCTGCTGTCTTTTACTTTGTGGTTGGGGAAAAAAATACTAAGTAATTTTTGTTTCAAATTATATTTAAAATATATTGCATTTTCTTCAAAGCTCTTCTTGCATTAATTTCTAACCTAATTTTTCCTCCAAACATGTCTTTAATATGCAGAAAACTAGAAGAACCCATTTCAGTCTGGATCTACAGACAAAGAAGCAACAGCAGGTCACAAAATCTGATATTTTTTTTCCCTTTTTATTGTTGAAGCTCTAAAAATACAAAATGTGAAATACATTAAAAGACCACATTATAATGCTTTAACTAAGCACTTATTTTCCTATTTCTAAATCATATTAATCAATATTTTTTTTAGGTGTTCTACTTTCTCTTTTGTCCTCTTTTCTGTTCAAAATGTCGTCCATCTTCCAAGGGCTGGAGATAAAATTATTTATAGAACTTAAAATGAAAAGACATCAGCAAACGAGTACAATAATGTCTATGTAATTGGAAGCAAAGCAAAAATAAACTCCTTTCTGCTTAAATTGTGTGTTGCTGAAGTACACGTATTAGGTAGTATCTAATAAAATAATATATTCTGAAATTCCCTTTAAGAAGAATAAAAGATCATAATAAGAGGAAATACTGCGACCACTCCTCACTTCTTCAGTTTTCAGCCTCTCCTGCATCTCCTTTTCCTTTTATCTGCGTCCAGCTTGCAAAGATGGACTCCTCATAGTCTCCCACGCCTTCAAACTCTGCATCAGGAGATTCAGAGGAAATATCTGCATTTTCTTCTGGTTCACAGAAATCCTTGGAGAAATAACAAGAAGCACATATAGTTAAATGGACGACTGAAGCACACGGTGAGATTAGAGTTTTGGAAATGTTTTAATAAACAATTTTTTTATGGTTTACCTCATCATTCGTCTCCAAGTACTTCCCTATAAATGTCAACATCTGTTTTTGAGTGATGGTCTTGTTGTAATATCTGACAGCCTCCTGTTAAAATACAGATTATATTTACATGACTCACTGCCGTCCCTGTAGCTAGCCTTGGAAAAATAGAAATTTATCATTAATAATCTGATATAAAAGTTTAGGGAGAAATATTAAGAGTCTAAATAACTTTTAAACATTTTATTTCCCTTCAAAGGGATATTTTGTTTCTTAAACTTATTTAAGTGTTTTTTTTCCAAATTAAAAAATCCAGCTACTTTATTTATTCATATTATATTGAATTAATTGTTTTAAATATAAGTGGAATGGAGAAGTTAGAATTGTTTTACTTATGATTTTCTGTGTTATCATATTTTCTGAACTGTTTCTGTGTTTGTTATTTTAGAGGAAGTTCCTCTTACTGTTCTTGGTGTGAAGTGATGCGACTGTAGACCCCATTGTTGACTGTAGGCCTTATAATACAGCAGGTTGTCCTTCATTACTGGATCTTCTGGCTGGAACAGGAAGTAGCTATATGCACATGGCACGGCTCTACGGCCGTCATTCACTGTGCAGAGAATAACAGAGATAGGGTTCATACTACAGAACATGAATCTGAGGTAGAAAAGCTTATTTGCTCAACCTGTGCTGAACTTACATTTGTAATAAGCATACTGGAGGTAGTGGTAAATAGTGGACACAAAGTTCTCTACATAGTAACCACCAACGTTGGGCATCAGATTTTCCTCACACTTTATCTGGCACTTCAACGAGTCGATGTAAACTTCTTTAAAGGGAAAAAGTAAAATACAATATTTACAGAATTTACAGAAATAACTGATCTTATCAGGCAAAGACAGCTTTAGGTAGGTTAGTTCTTGTTTTCTTTTACTTTGTTTTATATTTATATCCTTGTAAACATAGTTTACTGTTAATTTGAACATTAATAGTAAGATTACTGACTTTGCATCTGATTGCAAAACTGACCAAAATTTTGGGTTCTGTTCAAAGATAGAAACTTTCTCACCCTGGGTTACACTGACTACTTTCTGTGTATTCCTTTTAATCTCTCACATGTTATCCTGTGAAGCAATTCACACTGGATGCATAAAGGGTCCATTAATGCAGATGGACAGCCCCATTCTATCCTATTTAGAAATGTACCAGATCGGTTTTATTCTTCACGTCTGTCTGGTTCATCTGGTCTATATAAAATACACCTGGCAGGGGTTGACTATATGCAAGGAAAATAACTCATGATACCCTGTGTGAACCCAGGGTGAAAAGACACTTTATTTTATTGATATTTGGAGCCTGGGCAGAAGTTCAACTGAACAAACTCATTGTTTTTCATACATCCACCTGTGACACAGCCAATCAGCTTTGAACCACACCTCCACGAAAGCCAATCGGCATTCAAAGTTCATCTTAAAAGGCCTCCTATACGCAACGGTCTGCCCTGTGCGCAGACGGCAGATGCGCTGTGACTTCATTCAGATTACACCAATTCAACCCACCTCCAGCCCCTCCTCCACAATCGTAGCTAAAGTTTCATCAGAGTGTCATTCCTCCCGGACTGTTACTGCTTTCCCTGTCTCACCTTAACCGGTCCGGCAGAAGACCGCCATGTTGAGCCTGGTTCTGCCAGAGGTTTCTTCCCAACGGGGAGTTTTTCCTCTCCACTGTCGCTTCATGCTTGCTCATCATGGACAGGTTCTCAAACCTGTGTTATCCACTCTGGACTTCCATCTTCCAGGTCCCTGAGTGAAGCTCTAGTATCAGCTCACGCAGTCCACTGGATCTCCCCATAAAGCTCAGCATACCGTCTCGCCAACCAGCAGTCTACAGACTGACCAACTTCATCTATCTCCACTCCACCACCAGTTTCAGGCCTGGGTGGAAACAGCCCTATTCTTTACTCCTGTTCATGCATATCTATCAAAATTAAGCACTATGTTTCCTGCCGAGGTCTGAGCGCCAAAGACAAAGTAATTGTGTCAATAAATTACTCCTAATTGTCTTTTCTCTTTTTGTGAGTTTTTAAGATTTAAATAGCAGAATGACAGTGGTCCAAAAAAGGAATCTTGTGTTACACCCATTTTACAGCTTTGAAAGGTTGATCTTCTCTTGTTGTCAGCTTTATCAAACTGTTCTCAGTCAGTAAAAATAAAATAAAAGCCACTTGTTATGAAAAGTTAGCTTGTGATGTTTGTGAAAAGAAACTTATTCACATTAAAAACCATTACATTCTGTATTCTTACCTGTTAATAGTTCGTAGAAGTCCATTTCTGATGAAAAATGATTGATCCCCTCACATTCTGCCTGACAGAGGTCAAACTCCTGCAGGTAGAGCCTCAATGCTTCCTCCAGGCGTTTAACGCTGCTGTTGTAGTTGCCGGAGTCGAGCAGTTTCACAGCACTAACAAAGGAAGGCTAGGGGGAAAAAAAGAAAAAACCTTAAGGGATTAGTTAAAAGAATGTGGGTTATGTTCAAACAAGTCACAAAACTGAGGAGAAAAGAGGGCATATGGGTGACATGTGAGGACCAAAAAAGCTGTAGTTTAGTTATCCATTTAAGAAGAATCTGAAGTATGTCTCTGTGTGAGATATACTTCAGATACATTTTTATTTTTTAATCTTTACCCAAAAAATTACTGTAACATCACTGAGAAGCGCTACTGTCAGACTGTTTCACCTCATAAAGTCGTTCTTCATGGTCGATGAGGAAGCCGCTGAGGTCGTACTCGTTCTTGTACTCCTCCATCAGCTGGAGCATCTCCTGGTCCTCTGGGTTTCTCTGGAGGAAGGTGTGGGCACATGGCACAGCCCTCTGCAGGTCGTTCAGCTGGACACAGATATTAGCTCTGCTGATGTTAAGGCTAGAGACAGAGTCTTTACACAGAGTAAAAATTAAATGGAGACGTATTTAGCTTCCCCTGCCAGCCCGGTCGTTTAAAGAGTTTAAAGCAAAAGAATAAGGAGTGTTGTGATTTTCTGTATACTGTATTCAATGCCAATCCAGGTTGGATACCATATTTATGTTGTGAATGACTGTTATATTCAATTTCCAGCCAGCTGGGAATTTAGATTTTTGATACTTTAAGAAGTCTATTGCCCTACCCGGTAGGG